GCGCTTGGTTAGTAATTATGGAGTGAGGCATGTCATGTGTGTATAGCAGCACAGCTCGAGTTGACTGCCTGAACTAGCTTGCAGGCTTCGCTTCATTTGTGATTTCACAAGGGACTGTGTGCTTGACTATTTCTTAGCTGGTGGCAGTGACTTCCTGGTGCCGCTGCCAATTTCTTTGCAACCTCACAGTAATGACAGAATTCTAGGAAGAAAAATATCAAATCGTTACGCTTAAAAGAGTTAAACATTTATGAGTTTACAAATTTGGAAAACGCCACTAATGCTATGAGGTATTTACATATTTTCCTCTAAATGTATTATTTATTTTATCTGGTAGTTAATACTTGTAGGCTACATGAATGCTTGATCCAGCCCAACTGCTCATTGCCATGACACATTTGGGTGATATCAGAATTTTGAAAAACTATAAACTAGGAGGATTTCAAAATAAAGGTGTAATTCTCAATTTTTTGTTGACAGCGGAGCCCCAGAAAGGTCACAGTGGAATTTTTTTCTGAACTACTTTTGCATTCCCTCACAGTGAGTGCTGTGTTGTCTCACAATACATTTTGCATTTGAAAGAGTAGCTACAGTGCAGCTATAGCCATAACCATATCTGTAAGACGTCTACACAGGAAGCGTAGCAGGAGCAGCACATTAGCAGAGCAGCAGCATATGGAAGGCCGTTTGTCTGTCTCCACAGGATGCATTCATGCGCAGTATTGAGTGTAGTTCACCTGCAGTGCTCACTACACTTATTCACTGAAACCAGAAGACAATAGACTTGAATCGTAAAAGTACCCCTCAGGAATGCAAAACGTTAATGAAAGGTAACACAAAAGTTACTCTGAGAGAACACAAAACAGTCTTGGTAAGGCAAACATTTTTGCACGGGAATGCACCCTTTTTGTGAGGTAACATTAAAGGTTTTGCAAGGTGATGTCACTTAAAAAAAGATCCCACCCTGACCTTTCGAGGCAAAGTCCTTTTGAGTAAAAAAGTGATTTAAAAATGTCACTTCCATTAATCTTTTCAACTTTTGGTACCACCCAAACTGGCAAGGTAACTGCTAATGTTAACCATGCTATTTATACAAGTTCCTCACACTGTGCTTAAAATTATGACTCACTTCCAGTCACGCAAATTTAAAAAATTGTCTTTATATAACAGTTTAAACCTGAGGAGTGAGATCAACCAGCCTCTGTGTTAACAGTTACCAAAGACATGCAATGATTATGAATGTAGGTTTTGTGTTTGCATGTTCTGAACTACATGAATTCTGTTGCAAAGTTAAGATGGATAGTTATTCAGGTGACTTCAATTGAGTCAGTGTAACAGTTGAAAGTAAGAAATGGTACGTCTCTTCAAAAAAACAGGATTTGAAACCACAAAATGAATTCACTGTATCATCACTAGAGTTGAAGCACAGAGATCAAGCAACCTAATCAGCATGTGCCTCTGTATAATTACAAAATTGCAAAATTACATAAAATTAACTTACTAACAGAGAAGTATAACACGAATAAATTATAAATTATTTCATTAGGCTTAAGCCAATCAGACAGTGTTTCTTTCCAGGTTTGGATGCATGTTCTCAGGGACACAATTGCCAGCACATTTGTGTCGACAATGGCATCTCATACAGCTGCAAGTGTCGAACGGGCTATGTCTTGAACCCGGACAAGAAAACATGCTCGCGTGAGTATCTTTATCTTTGTCTTAATGTTTTTGTCCAATGTCTGTGTCACAATATCTCATTTGTTTTTTCATGATTCACTATCTGCAAACTACTGCTAATAAGTGTTGAACATCAGCAATTATACTTGAATTGAATCTTGCTTTAACACTAATTTGGGATTGGAGGGGAAAAACCTTATTAGAGGTAGAAAAGTCTAACTTTTATAAGATTTAATGTAAGAACTTTGACAGAAATTTTGCAATTCCACAATCATATGCTTTTGTTGTGAAGCTCCCTTTGGACATCAATTAATTTGGTATTTTGTGGTGTCGGGACACTGCATACCATCTCTTGTTACTAATGTTGGGTTGCCCTAAATAGATGAGGGCAGAGACTATTCAGCACAAATTAAATGAGCAGGACATGATAAAGGCCCGGACTGATGAGGGACACAAATTCTAAAAGTAATAATGGCCACACTGCGGGAGAGCTAAAGAGGGGTAGTAGTAGTAATTAAGATACTATGTTAGTTGAAAGGGACAGATGGCAGACAACAGGACAGTTGTTGTAGTTTGACCCGCCCACATGATAAACACATTATCCCATATTAGATTCAGTGTAACTTACATGTGTGACTCATAGAACTTGCCTGAGAATTTTTAAAAAGCTCCTTCTCTAGACTGAACCCAAAACTATATCAGTCAGATGTGGGAGTGTCTCTTTTCAGGTTCAGATGCATGTGCCCAGGGACATGACTGCCAGCATATTTGCATCAGCAATGGTGATTCATATACCTGCAAGTGTCGAGTGGGATTTGTGTTGAATGCAGACCAGAAAACATGCTCACGTAAGATAATTTTCTTAAAAATTTTACACTTGCATGTCACATTCCAGGGGGTGCTCGTGCCTGTGCCCCCCCTACCCAGCAGTAAGAGGATGGATAGGTAGTTGGCTTGTTAGTATCAGAACCTCAGTATGAATGGTGGTTACCTGGAACCTGGAATTAGGTTTATTGCTTGCTCAACAGCTACAGTTCTGTTCCACAGCCACATAATCTGACATACAGAGTGGTCTTGTAGAGTATACTGGCTTTATAGGGACAACCCCCGTAAGCTGATCACAGATCTGCAAAATGAAATAGTCAAACCCTAGTTAAAGTCCATTTAATGCATGATGTGCACATGTTTGAAATAAAAGTGACTCGAGGCTGCTTGACTCAGTAAGACTTAGTTGGTTAGATGTTTCTTTTCAGGTTCAGATACATGTGCCCAAGGACATGACTGCCAACATATTTGTGTCAGCAATGATGAGTCGTTCATCTGCAAATGTCAAGAGGGATATGTGTTGAATGCAGACCAGAAAACATGCTCACGTAAGAACCAGAATATTTTTCATAGATTTGTTGTCTGTCTTTTGGTTGGTTCCTGTGTTTTGCCTGACTGAAAGTTATGTATCCTCCATATACTGTACAGAGCAGGAGCTGGTGAGTGAAGTGAAATTCCACAATAAGGGCTTCATGTCAGATGTGGAAGTTTTTTCTTTTCAGGTTTGGATTCATGTTCCCAGGGACATGACTGCCAGCATATTTGTGTCAGCTCTGATGATTTGTACATCTGCAAGTGTCGAATGGGATATGTTTTGAATGCAGACCAGAAAACATGCTCACGTGAGAACCTGGAATTTTCAGGTAGACTTTATGCTTGTATCTTGGCACAGATGCCATAGCAGGCATTAAAGAAACTGCACCATAATCAACATTCATTATGGTGCAGTTTCTTTCATTACGCTTCTGCTTCAATGATGGTGGTTGCTTCTTGGATTTCGGTTATTCTGAAAAGTGGGAAGTAAATGCTTGGTTGAATTTGTACAGGATCAGGCACGAACAGCTCTTGTGACTGTTGTTATGGGGAACTGGTTGTTGAGTTCAGCTACAGTCCGTTACATGTAGAAATGTCTCCTTTCGGATTTGGATATGTGTCAAGGGACATGACATTTTCCCTGCATAGTACGGCTCAGCTCAACTCAACTCAATGGAAATTAGTTTTTCTACTGGCAAAAATTGTGGATAATACAATAGTACCTTTTTTTTGGCATCACCACTAAGCAAGATGAGCTCATATTGAGAAAAGCACCTGGTACAAAGAGTACCTGGTACCTAAAGCAAGTTGAGCTACGTCAAGTTGAGCTGCACCATGCAGCGGAAATGAGGCTTTTGTCTCAAAAGCAGCTATTCATACCTCCATATGTGTCATGAGGGATATGTGTTGAATGCAAACAAAAAAGATGTGCACATAAGAACCCTTACCAATAGATTTCATGTCCATCTCTTGGTGTAATGTCTCAGGTTTCCAAGTGTTTATTTGCTATATGTGTTGAGTGCTGACCAGAAAACAAGCTCACGTAGTGATACTTTATCCTTTTAGTAGATTTGGAGTGTATAGTTTGTCAAGTGAATACATCTGCAAGCGTCAAATAGAAAACATGCCGTATACGATCACAAAGTCAGTTGCTGAGCTCAGCCTAAATAACTAAGAGACTGATTGAGACAGAAAAAGAAATAGAGCATGTGACCACAGTTAACGTCAATAGTTAGGGAAGCAGTGGCCAGACAGTGGCTCCAACAGTCCAGGTTCTCCTTAACAGATGTCATAAGATGTAAGTTACATGTGGACATGTCTCTTTTCAGGTTCTGATCCATGTGCCCTTGGAAATGATTGCCAGCACATTTGTGAAAGCAATGATGACTCGTATATCTGCAAGTGTCAAGTGGGATATAAGTTAAATGCAGACCTCAAAACGTGCTCACGTAAGAACCTGGACCTTATGATATGTATTAGCGCAGTGTCACTAGTTAATACAAGAAATTAAAAATGTATGTGCATGGTTGGCAGAGAAAGCTTTCAATTAATGCTGGTCTATCCTGATGGTGTAAATGTTAGCTGTGGAAGTCTCTTTTCAGGTTTGGATACATGTGACCAGGGACATGACTGCCAACATATTTGTGTTACAAATGGTGATTCATACCTTTGCAATTGCCATGAGGGATATATGTTGAATGCAGACCTGAAAACCTGCTCAAGTAAGAACCAGAATTTTACCTACAGTATATAATTGAGGATCCAGTGTCTTGGGTTTACCTTGAAGATTCACTTGAATAAATGTCAGAGAATAATCTATGTAGTATTGGCAATTGGTAAGTTGGTGAAGCACGGTGCTGTGGATGTATATATATCAGCTCTTGTAGATTGTTTTAAATCACTTGTAGGTGAAGTTTGGAGACTGGGACTGATGCATGACTAACTGTAACATTATTGGTACCATCAGTTACAAGTCAGTTACCAGTCTGAATATCTCTTTTCAGGTTCAGATACATGTGCTCAGGGACATGACTGCCAACATATTTGTGTCAGCAATGATGACTCATACATCTGCAAATGTCAAGTGGGATATGTGTTGAATTCAGACCATAAAACATGCTCACGTAAGAACTTGGGCTTTATTATTGGATTCAGAAAGAGGCACAGAGCTGTTTTTCTTTAATCAATTTTGGCCAATCATAAGCTTCTCCAAGGAAGTTAGCTGTGGATTTTAGCTGTGGAAGTTTCTGTTTTCAGGTTCAGATGCATGTACCCAGGGACATGACTGCCAACATATTTGTGTCAAAAATGGCAATTCTTACCTTTGCATGTGTGATGAGGGATATGTGTTGAATGCAGACCAGAAAACATGCTCACGTAAGAACCTTAAGTTTGATTATAACTGTTTGATATGCATGTTCTTGTACAAAATGTCAAGTGCCCTAATACATTTTAGATGCACTTGATGAAATGCTCCACATAGAGGTATGGAGTATTTACTCATCACTTACATACGTTTTAAATTGAATGATCAAGTGGAATCTGGACATCACGATATGTTTGTCTTATGGCAGTGTGTATTAATTATTAGAAAAATGCATAAATTTAGGTGTTTGAAAAAAAAATAAGGCATAGGGTAAATGCCCATAAAATATTTTCTGTTGATTTATCATAAGACGTCATAAGACGCCAAAGATAAATTAACTGACAGAGTTGGACTATGTTAGCTGTGGAAGTGTTTCTTTTCAGGTTCAGATGCATGTATCCAGGGACATGGCTGCCAGCATATTTGTGTCAAAAATGGCAATTCTCATCTTTGCTCATGTCATGAGGGATATGTGTTGAATGCAGACCAGAAAACATGCTCACGTAAGAACTTGAATTTTACCTATAAATTTGTGCATGTTATGGTGCTGTGTTTCAGGGTTCCCTCAAATCCATTATTCTAGGTGCATGACTGAATGCTGCAGAAGCCATTCTCTGGAGGACTAAAAAATGTATTGGAAGGTCATATGGGATTGGTGTTTTCCAGAAACAACCCCAAATTATTTATCTGGACAGCAAGAGCTGGTGAACCACAGCTGAGGTCACATGCATATCAGCTCATATAAATTGTCCTATAGATTAGAAGATTAGTCAGTTGTGAAGTTAGTGTGAACAGACTAAAAAGAAAATATGCTCAAAAGAGACTCAAAGTCTAAGTTTCAAGTGCATGCCATGGTACAATGCATCAGGTTCTCACCAAATTAACTTATTCTTGATTGCTTTTTGATTGATGTAAATGGAATCCGTCAGTGGAAGTGTTTCTCTCTCAGGTTCAGACATGTGTTCCCAACATATTTATGTCAGCACTAATGACTAGTTTGTCTGCAAGTGTCGAATGGGATATGAGTTGAATGCAGACCAGAAAACTTGCTCATGTAAGAACCTGGATCTCTCTAAAATATATGATGCCTCTTATGCTCAGACTGATGCTCCGAGAAGAATAGAATAGATGACCATAGAATTCCTGAACTGTAAAAGGAAATTTGGCCAGTCGGGGGTTCTCAATGGGTTAAGAGCTTCTTGACCGATGGTGTTAGGCTAAGTCAGATGTGGAAGTCTTTCTTTTCAGGATCGGATGCATGTGTCATGGGGCATGATTGCCAACACATTTGTGTCAACAGTGATGACTCGTATATCTGCAAGTGTCCTGTAAGGACGTAAGCACCTGATTTGTTTCAATATACATATTTGGTGTCTGTGGTGTGATCCAGCATCTCAGATATTCCACAAAGCACATTTGGAGCTTCAAAGCATGTTCATCAGAGCACCATAGGAGTTGACACACCATGATAGGGGCTGGGCACAGGGCTGAGGCATTTACTTCTTTTAAAGAGAACTGGGACCAAAGGCTCGGCGAAATGTAAAGTGATTGAAGTTTTTGATGTTGTAAGACTAAGTCGCTGAGGTGTGAGCTTTTCTTTTCAGGTTCAGGTTCTGATGCATGTGCCCAGGGAAATGACTGCCAGCACATTTGTGTCAATAATGGGAACTCTTACATCTGCAACTGTCGAGTGGGATACGTGTTAAACATGGATCACAAAACATGCTCACGTAAGAAAGTTTTTCCTTTGAAGTAAACATTTGTGCAGTATCTCAAGATGTTTTGTGTCATTCCATAGTAGTTCCAAAGACCAGGCTCCAGTCACACATACGCAAATGCAGGCTAGTGACCCACGGCTGTGAAGGCGAAATGTGGGCAGTGCAAGATGTGCCGCACGTGGAAACCAGTTTGCTTTGTTGTCCTTTTTAAGAGTAAACACACTGCAACTTCTCCGGTTAAAATTCACCAATGTTGAACTCTATGCAAATCTGGACCTTGGGAAGCAAGGGTTTTATTTGCCCCTTTGTTCACATAGATTGGAAGTGAACGAGAGGCAAAAACTTGCCAGTGTTGTGATTTTGCGTATGTGTGACTGTGCCCGCAACAAAAGCTACTTAAGCATTTGTGTTGCGCTCGACACATTATGTCATGTTTTGGCAAGGGATTCCATGAATATGAAGATAATAAAAGCAAGAGTTCCTTGACTTTGGAATACTTAGATCAAGTCAGTTAGGTTCAGATGCATGTGCTTAGGGACATGACTGCCAGAACATTTGTATCAACCATGGTGACTCATCTACATAGACACACCACATCTCTTGTGAATTTTGGCCATTTTTGATGTGAGCTTGAATAAGCAGGAGATATAGAGATTAGGAATGTTTAAATGTATTGATCACAGGGCTGAGGCATTCACTTCTTCTACAGAGAACTGTGACCAAAGGCTTGGCAAGAATTATGTCATAAGACTAAGTCACTGAGGTGTGAGCTTTTCTTTTCAGGTTCTGATGCATGTGCCCAGGGACATGACTGCCAGCAAATTTGTGTCAACAATGGGAACTCTTACATCTGCAAGTGTCGAGTAGGATACGTGTTGAACATGGATCAGAAAACATGCTCACGTAAGAAAGTTTTTCCTTTCAAGTAAACATTGTTTCAGTATCGCAAGATGTTTTGTGTCATTCCATACTAGCTCAAAAGACTGTAAGCAACAAGTAAGCAAGCAAGTAAGCAGCAAATAAGAGTTACTTAGGGACAAGGAAGAGCTCCTTGACCTTGAATTACTTAGACCAAGTTAGAAGTGTCTCTTTTCAGGTTCAGATGCTTGTGCTCAGGGACATGACTGCCAGCACATTTGTATCAACAATGGTGACTCATATACCTGCAAGTGTCGAGAGGGATATGTGTTGAATGCAGACCAGAAAACATGCTCACGTAAGGATCTGGATTTTTTTTCAGCATAGATAATGGTGTCTGTGTATTGGGAGTATCAAGATTCAAATTGTCCATATTTTGAGTTCTAGCATCAGGAATTTGAGTTGAGCTCGGCCAGACTGGGACCAACTTACCGAAAGGTGTGGCATACATGGACATGGTTTCCATGAGTCTTCAAATGAACTTTGATCCACCAAATTTCAACAACTGGCCAGGGGCTCCTTGAATACTCTTTCCCTATGATATTTGAAAAGGCTTTATCAAAGACAGGTTGGACCTTGTGTTTGACAAGAGCCATTTTCAAACCATCCTAAAATAAGCAAGACCATTCGAGGTGAGATGCCAGTGCTATCTGTTCTAGCTTAGATTAGATAGATTTCCTCTATATCAATTTAAATATGACCCAGGCTTTGGCCTCTGAAGACAGAGATATACTTGCTTTTTAACCACGCGTTTGCATTGTGCATGTGTTGCATTCATGCCTGAGGACGTCCACTACCAACGGTCCAAACGGACTCAGGATATGGGTGGCCATATACAGGCATTGCATGGTGGCCATCATGCGTATGCAAACACGTAGTTAAAAGCAATCAAATCTCCAGCAGCCTTAAAGAGTCTATAGGCTTGGCCATTTTCCTATGAGGGTCGTACTGAGCTGATTTGACTGTAAACAAGGCCACCATGACTTCTCCCTTCCCTTTCTAACACAACTGCTTTGGCATCCACCTTGCTATTACTGACAACATGGGCAGTCCAGACAGCCTAGAGTGCAGGGTGTTATAGCGATGGGGGATCTTCTTTCATGTTGAGGAGATAATTCCAGACAATGGACTATGCTCTGTTGATATTCTGGCTCGAAAAGGTAATACCAAGCACAGGAAATGTATCTCATACATCACCAGGTCAACTGGCTAAACTATACCATGCCTGAAATTTTGCCATAGGTGGAGGCATGGCTTCACCACAAGCTGTAGCAGGTTTGGTACAACATGACAGCCCACCAGTAGAGAAACTGTCAAAAAGAGCAAAAGTCCATCTTCCTTTGAAGGCTACCAAAATTTTGGTGGCAAATAATCACAGCCTTTTTCTGCCTAGACCACCTTATTATTGACCACCCTCAAGTGTGTCATGATTTACACAGTTCAATTGACTCTATAACTGACCAGTTTAGTGTTACGGTTTGCCATCAACTAAAAGAAGAGTCCCTGTTGACCCAAAATGATGCATGTTGGCTGTGCTCCTTAAAGGATCTATTGTATGTTTCTTTTCTTTCACATTTTTGAGCAGGTGCACAGTGGCTACAGCCTGACCCTCTATGTAGCAATCCTGCATCCATGTTAAGGTATTGCAACATCTCAATGGAGACCCACAAATTCATCTTAAGGGTGCAGCTTGTATGAAACAGAACGGAGTTTAAGGATTGTCATCCCAATTATATGATCACATGTCTATAACCCTGTAAGCCTTTGCTGACAATTTGTGAATGTAGACTATACATAGACTATAAATAGAGAATTTCAGTATACTGCCCCAGGTTGGAGTTTGGTCAAGCCTATATGGCACTGATATCGGGCTTTCCCTATCTCTATAGATTTTAGATTGCAATTTGTGTGCTTCTTTTATTTTAATAGTTATCATACTTTTCACGTCTGTCTTTTTGCATTCTTTAGTTGTGGAGAAGTCTGCAGTGGACTGCAACCAAAGCTACTGTGTCCAACGACAAGCACTACTTCTACTGATCCATACATTTACAGCGCAGATTATAAAACATAAATGTGTGCTGCAGTGCTGGTTAAAGGAATGACAGACTGCTAAGGCAATGGGAGTTGTGGTGTGAGCCCATGAGAACTTTGGTCCATGTAAAGGACCCATATCATTGTATCTTTTTCAGTGAATTGTATGTATATATGGGTATATTGCTCAAACAGTTGTTAACATGTGTCCCCTTTAAATTTGTCCACACCTGATCTCTTTAACTAGGCACTCCTAGGTTGTGATTAACTAATTGAAGGGATTAACTATTTTTAACATCTAATCTCACTCACAAAAGAAAAATCAAGATTGTACCTAATCTCTGCTATATTGTTCAATCCATATCAGTTATGCTTATCTTTTCATTTAAAACAACACCTAACTTTTATCCGATTCTCTCAGCATCGACACTGATTCTTTTAAAGGATTTTGGCCATTAGTCCACAAAGAGGAACATAAGATGGGCTGTGTTCCGTATTGTTTCTTTCTACTAAGTAGCCAAATGTTGTACTAGTATTACAAACGAGTACTACAAAGGGGCTACACTAAACACGGTGAAACATCACTCACTCATGCTTTCCATATTTTTTCATCCTTTCAGAGGAAATGAGAAGTGAAATAACTCAAGATGCCTGCATGTGTGAAGCTCAGATTGTGTTCCAGAAGAAAGTGCAGTCAACCATTCAGGAGCTGAGCAGAAAACATATCCTTTTTGATATAAGATTTAAAAATTGTGGTTATCTGTAGTATGCGCTTAAGATTTAAGAACAAATGTTTTTTTTTAACTAGCTTGGCCTGCTGCTATAATCTTTTTGTCTTATTTGTATGTTTAATGACAGTAAGTTGAATCTAAATCTGATGAGCTGGTAAACATTACAGCTACACTTTTAAAGTTGTATTTCCTTGACAGTATGTTCACTTGATGAACTTTCGGACAAAGTGAACCTGATTGAGGGCCAACAGCAGTAGCGATGGAGATGTCGGAAAACTTCTTCAGGGCTCTAAGTGTATCAAATTTTTGTGACCAGACAAAGTCATCTGTAACCCTCAAGATCTCCCTAAAAATGTCTGATTTGGTAGAACTCTGCATGGTACTGATTTCTCATGCAGTAGACTGTTGCAATTACTGTTTTGTATTATAAACCTGCATTCTGTATTCACAACACTGTCTATTATTACTTCTTACATTAAAATCAGGTGTAACTGGTGTAAATGTTTACATATACCTGTATTTTGTAGTATTACTAGATTGCCTCCACTGAGTTAAGATTCAAACTATGTAAGATAATTTACAGAAAAGATATGGTACAAACTTCTAAAAAATATATGTATGAGAAATTGTAAAATTAATGTTTTTCTTGTGGAGTGTTGTACCACATCCTTGTTGTGTATTTAGTGAGCCGAGAGCATTTCTTGGTCAGTGTTCTTGTGTTCTAGGTAGAACACAAAGCCTCCATCCATAACCATAACACAACAACTAATCTCTTATACAACAAGAGCACTGTTGTTACCCTTCTGATTGCATCACTATTACACAGAAAAAAGACCAAAAAAAGCCTGGTTCAGTTGGCCCATGGCAGTGTTATATCACGGTGAATTACTATAATCCTTTTATTTGATACCTAAAATATTTCAACTACTTTATAGCACAACATTGATTGGTAATAATTGTTTTGTTTGTAACAGACAGGTGCAGTTTCTTTGGGCTTAGAGGGAAAACTGTTTAGGGAGTTCATGGTTGTTTGGGCCAATTCACTTCTTTGCACACTTGGCTTGTCTTGGACCAAAGTCCGGGCCATTAAAGACAATTTTTCAATGCACTAAGTTTTGAAATCATTGCATTTTGAGTTAAAATCCACTTTACTTTGTAAACAGTTAAAACCGTATTTCACTGTACAGTATTTGCTTTTTTAGTAACTTTTATTTTTATAGCATTTTCAATTCAACTGACAGTAGTGTAAAACAGAAACATAAGAATATTGTCAGCTAATATCAAAGACAGATACACAAGTATACAGGGGTTTAAACATCACTGCCTTATTTTAAATTTACAGTATTTTCTTCATACAATACACACATGTTCTGTGTTTTCTATTTTGTCATTGCCATGAAACACCTGAAACAGGTGAAATGAATATTTGTGGTGTAAACTGACTATGCATAACATATTCTGGTGCTTTTGTGATAGAAAACAACTTTTCCTGTATATTTTCTGTTGGGAATATAGTTGGACATGGAAAATAAATATTCTGAAATAATCGATCATAGATCTTGTATTGTGTGTTTTACTCTTAGTGACCAGCCCACTTAATCTCAGAATAGTGATATAATCTCTGAATAGGCCAAAATCAATCCATGTTGAGAGCGACTATGATAACCTACCTTCACTGCACCCATTTTTCTTGTTTTGCATCCAACATAACTAAAAGCAAAATATGTAGCTAATGGTTTTTATGTAGCCTAATTGTAGTGCTGGTTTATTAGGTTTTTTCATAGTGGTCATTTATGCCTGTTACATTTTTACAGTAATATACAAGACAACCATGCAAAGCTCAATAAAGCTTATTGTCTTTTCTCCCAAATAAGACAAATTACAGTGAGTAACTGCCCATTATAGTGAGGGGGTCAAAAGGACCGGACGATTCTGCAAAGCCTGACACCAGAGCGCGAACAAGAAAAACTACAATTACCACAAAGACCCCAAACCCGACTCTTCCGGTTTACGGTTACCACGGGAGACCGAGGGAAGCTCAGCCTCTGAGTACTGAGTTTTCCAAAACAAGCAACGAAACGTCGAATTTGAGCAGTTTTTCCAATTCACTCGCTAACGTTATTCACTTCAATCGTAGCCGAGCGTTTAATTTATGAGGCTAATTAAATTCAACGTTAACAGTGTGCGCTAACTGTGTCACGTTAGACAGCAAAGCTAACGGAACAGGCTAACGTTACATTCACCAGATGCAGGCCGCATGATGTGGCTACTAGGCTGAAACAGTTGGCTCACTTTAGCTGTGTAGTTTGCTATTCGACGTTAGGTTAGTATAGCTGAGCTGTACGCAGTTCCTTTCAGATAGACAGAGGTCTGTAAGTTGTCTCCAGCACCATGTTCATCTACCTCAGTAAGAAGGTGAGTGTCTGCCACCCAGCTGACCACCTGTCTACACGTCAGATAAGATATAAACAGTGTGGCTTACATTTTACGTGTTTTATAGATCGCTATCCCCAACAATATTCACCTAAAATGTGTCTCCTGGAACAAAGATCAAGGCTTCATTGCCTGTGGGGGGGACGATGGTCTTCTCAGAGTACTCAAGCTTGAAACTCAGACGGGTAAGTTCAGCGGATGGAGCTAACAGCCTGCACCGTCCTGGTACACTCGTGATTTAAGGTTATTTCTATCCACCAGCCTGAGGGGCCTTGGACAGCTTTTTGCATTAAAATGAAAAAAATATTAAACGTATACAATGCAGAGTTGTTTGACCTTCTTGGCAGTATCCACCTGTAATGACTGTCATGTCACTGGTCAGAGTGCCTGTCTTGTTTCTAAGATTGGTGGGCTTTGATAATAATAATAACACTTTTATATATAATAGTAACGATTATCATGATAATAATAATGATACATAAATGCAGTGTAAAGTGTAACATTTGTTATGAACACTGATATTGTCTGAACCTGGTGTTCAGAGACACTGTGTTCACATTTCAATATTTTGCATGTGTTTATTTTGTTGTTCCTTTTACAGGGTATAAAACATTTATTTATTTTTTTTGGGGGGGGGATGAATAATAATAATATAATAATGTTGCATACATTCAGCTTTGTATGTTTATCTGTTACAGTCAAAGCCATTATGTAATACCCATGTGATTGAGATTTCAAGAAATCTTCTCAAACTTTTATAAGCTTTTTGGCTCTGTTCTGGTGCCGCAGTGTCCAGTCACTGTAAGTAGAAATGGTACCATGTGTATTATGTGTTGAGTGTTGTCTGTTTAAAATGTTGTTTAAAAAACAACTCACTGAGAATCGCGTGAACATTGTTGAGGTTCTGAACCTGATCTCTTTTACTGGTTTGTCAACAGATGATGCCAAACTTAAAGGTCTTGCTGCACCCAGTAATCTGTCAATGAACCAGACTCTAGAAGGACACAGTGGTAAGTTGTATTTAGTAGTTGCCAAACCTGCTATTTGTATAGTGTCCACAAAATGAAGACATAGTCCGGTGGTGCAAGGCTGTGGAGCGAGCCATCAGAAAATGAGCTGACACTTCCTGATACTACACTTGCAGGCGCAGTGCAAGTGGTCACGTGGAATGAACAGTATGAAAAGCTGACCACCAGTGACCAGAATGGACTCATCATTGTATGGATGCTCTACAAAGGTGATTACTGCCATAAGACTTTGTACAGACTGAAAACAAAATAAAGAATGAATCTGAATCTGAAGACTAACAATACAAGTTGCCTCGTAATAAATTTGGCTTTTATAGTTGTTTGTTTTTGCCCCTTTCGAAGGTGCCTGGTACGAGGAGATGATCAACAACCGGAACAAGTCGGTGGTGAGGAGCATGAGTTGGAACGCTGATGGTCAGAAGATCTGCATTGTGTATGAAGACGGAGCGGTCATTGTTGGATCTGTTGATGGTAAAAAAAAGATTTATAGTGTGGTTACTAAAAATGAAATGGTTATCAGTCATAACATGTTTTGCAACGAGATTTAGCATAAAATCACCAAGGCTCTCTTGACAAGGATTTCTTTGTTCACATACTGAGGGAATGAATGTACAGTGGGATAAATTCCTTTTTTTTTTTGGTAGGAAACCGGATTTGGGGAAAGGAGCTAAAGGGAAATCAGCTTGCTCACGTGGCATGGTCGCCAGACAGCAAGATCCTCCTCTTTGGCATGGCCAACGGCGAAGTTCAAATCTATGACAACCAAGGAAACTTTATAGTGAGTGCATACGTTTATACAGAAATGTCAGTTCATCCCATATATTCACACTGCATGGCTTCCTGACTCATAGGATGCTCTTTTTAAGAATTCATCTTTCATGCACATTAGATCCTATCACATGCTCGCATTTACTGATTACAATTTAGCATATGTTTTCTGATCTGTGTTACGTTTCAGATGAAAATGACCATCAGCTGTCTCACCAATGCGACTGGAGCTGTCAGTATAGCAGGTATCCACTGGTACGCAGGAACTGGTGGTTACGTCGAACCAGACTGTCCGTGCCTTGCTATCTGTTTTGACAATGGAAGGTGCCAGATCATGCGCTACGAGAACGATGAAAGTAAGGGGAAAAGATCTTAAAAGACTATAAGTATATTGAAGTTACACTTCAGTGAAATGCTGATGAGCTATGCTGCTGTCCTGTTCTGCAGACCCAGTGTGTATTGACACCCTGATGAATGTGGTCAGTATCCAGTGGAATCATTGCGGCAGTGTTCTGGCGGTGGCGGGTTCTCTCAGAGCCTCGAATATGGAAAAAGAATTCAACGTTGTGCAGTTCTACACACCCTTTGGAGAGGTGAGGGTGAAGATTGGCTTTCCTTACTTACACAGAGTTTTATACATGAAGATTGTATCTGTTGTCGTGCTGTCCTACATTGGGCGGTTAAAAATGCCACTAGGTTGGGAGAATTCTCTGCACCTGGCAAAATAGTTCTTGACTTACTGAAATTGATTTAAAAATCATTCCTTGCACACTCATACCCCCTACTATCCCCAGTGGGGAAATAAAAATGCTATGCGGCAGGAACAAGTTTAAACTTTGCACTTCAAATGCTTTTTGTTGTTTCAACAGCATCTGAGAACTCTAAAAGTTCCTGGGAAGCAGATGACGGGAGTGGCCTGGGAGGGAGGAGGCCTGCGTATTGGCCTGGCTGTGGACTCCTACATCTACTTTGCCAACATAAGACCAGACTACAAGGTAAATACCAACATGTGGCTTGCTTTTAATTAAAGTTTTTGGTAAAGAAACGATTCTTGAAGACACTCGTAGAACTATATTTGAATCTGATACGAATATGCTTAAAACGCTAGCCAAACTCAGAGTTCATGAGAACAGATTAAGTGAATGTTTTTTTTTAATTAATACAATGTTTGGATTTTATTGGGGTTTCATTTATAAGCCTCTAAGGGTTCGTTACCACATGGTGTATTCCCTTTTTAAATAAAGCCTAAACTGAACTGAACTGAACTGAACTAAACTGAAACGAGCAAGCCCTCTCTCTATTTGAAACGAAAAAATTAACAAAATGAAAATCTAAACTATAATAACTCCTGAAAACCCTACTCAACAGATGAATCTCACCAGCTCTTTTATGTCTCTCAACAGTGGGGCTACTGTTGCAGCACAGTGGTGTACGCCTACACGAAGCCAGACCGTCAGGACTACTGTGTGGTGTTCTGGGACACCAAAAACAACGAGAAGTTTGTCAAATATGTGAAGAGCTTGATGTCTATCACTACCTCAGGGGACTTCTGCATCCTCGCCAGCAAGGCAGATGACACCCAGCCTCAGGTACAAACACCTCCGGATTATTTGTCCTAACATGGAAACAGTGAGAGGAAAGCAAAATAAAACAGGACTTGATGTATAAAGCATTGCAGGTTGATTTGATACACTAGTCACATTCTGTATGACTCACAGACAAGCATGTCCATCGCTTTTGACAGATCTATGCTAACTCTTACATTGGGAAAGATACAGTATATGCAGCAGAAGCTACAGAGTCAGCTGTAACAGTAAGGATCACACATGTTTCTCTGCTGTTTTGCCTCCCGTTCTCTAATTCATTGCCACACAGGAGGATGCTGAGTTAGAGTCTGGGAGTCATGCAAGGGTAATGTACAAATGAAACCACACACTCAAAATGAGGACTATTCTGTCTTGATAAAGAATCATAAATCTGAGCTGTAGAATAATGTTGCACTTTGTATGTTTTTCAGTATGTCCTGATTCTGTGCAACTCCATTGGGACTCCACTGGACTCAAAATACATTGACATCGGTGAGTAAAGAGAGGAATATTAATCTTCAGATGTCACTTCATTTACATTTTCAACACACCCTTAAAGGGAATCATCTACTAAAGAAGCCATGTATCCCGCATGCTTGCACACATACGGAAGTGATCTTGGTAATAATCTTCTTTAGCAG